TATATTCTGATATGCTTGATATGGACTCGTTGATATTGTTATGTACTTGTATATGCTTTATCAACTATTGGACGGATTGGATTGTATGTACCGGTATGGGACGATGACATACTAGGTTTGGATTAGCTCAAATTGCTAAGTCCTACCTATTTTGGAGTAAGGGCACGGGTTATAAAATACAATCCTCCTTATATATATAAGTCGGTACGGTTGAATACGCCGAGTGACTTACTGGATTTCTTGTGGATGGTTAGAAACGGAGTTTAGATATATTTTTATGTTACCGTGTCATGAGCTTGAGTCTCAGTGTCGACGGTTAGGGTGCGTATATGCAGTTGGATGTGTAGCTGACTGTGAAGGTTGAGGTATACCCTGTTTAGGTTTAGGTACTCATGCCCACTCAGGTGCGTATTGTGTGATACCTTCTATCCAGGTTGAGACCCCCTTCATGGCCTAGCGAGAGTCCAGTAGTGTGGATATATTTATGTACGGATTATTAGTTATTGTTGAACTATTTAGTATGTACATGCGTATCGAGTCTCTGCTTGGATTGTAGTAGGATAGAACTTGTTCGTGGGCCTGACCCACTCTTATTTTTCAGGTGTACGTCAGTTCCAGGCTTGAGTTTGTTCGTGCTGAGCAGAGACGATCTTCCATTCTACCGACGATGTAGGGTTTCTTTCCAGATCTTGGATTTGGATTTTATCTTTCATTTTACTTTCATTCAGTGTGAGTTTTTATTAGGGGTCCACTAGAGATGGATTCCCGAGTTGTTCAAATTATGGATATTTGGTTTATCACATTTAAGTATTTAATTATTTAAGGATTGTCTTTTAGTTTTCTTTTCAGCTTTAAACTTTCATTTCTTAATTCATTTTGTATTCCGTATTCGTTATAAAATATTAATTGTTTGATATTCCCTCGGGTTTGGGCATGGGCCTGATCAACCCGTGTCTCGGATCCGAGGCGTATCACAGCTTTTGGTGTCCATCTTACCAAAACGCTTATAACCTTCGTATGCATTAAAGTAGGTCTGTCTCCATCTTACCAAAACGCTTATAACCTCCGTATGCATTAAAGTAGGTCTTTAGACCTAGTTGTCCAAATTGGATACCGTCATCAATAGATGGGCAAGATATAAAGCATCTCTGCATTTCACCTGACAATTTAGGTTAGGCTTTGATTTAGACCTATCTTGAAAATTGAATATTTTATTGGGTAAAGTGCAATAAACCCCCCTCAACTATACCTTAAGTGCAACTAACCCCCCTCAACTACAAATAACCCCCCTCAACTATGGTCTTGGTGCAGTCTTAGGACAGAGAAGATTTTTCTGGTCATCTCCTATCACCGAAAATTGAAAAAGTCTATTTTACCCCTCATAAAAAGGGTGCCACTTCACAATAAAAATGCCACCGTTTCCTTCAGCTTCTTCATTCTCTTTCTTTCTTTTTAACGAGAAATTATTGCCCAACTCCTCCAATTTAATCTTCTGATCCTCAACACCATCACCATCGAGAGAATTATTTGCGCAATTGAGAGAAGAAGGTAGAGATCGAGAAGAGTTACCTTAGTCAAGCGACGAGTAATTGTTAGTATCCAAAACAGCAGAACCACAATTGCCTGAACCCTGAGACGATGTAGGCATAGAAATTTGGTCGTTGCGAATTTCAGAGTCAGGTGAGGGGTAATCCAAAACCCTAGCAGCGGCGACGGCAACATTCAAGCACTTATTGTCGGATTCATGCAAAGATTCACGATTGAATCCACCGGATTCCGGTGATGGAATGTTCAAGAACCTAGAAACATCGGAGCAGTGATCCTGCAACAATCCTAGGAAAGGCATGGCCGGATTGAGGGTGGCGGAGTGATTATTGGAACCCTAGGAAAGGCATGGCCGGAAAGGGTAGAGATATCCGACGGTGACCTGGTATATCCCATGGACGGCAACCGTCCTCCACAGCTTGCTAGGTCGCTATAGTAGTGACCCCATCCTCCAACATGTAGCAACCCAAAGGTCGCTGCCATCCACGGCGAGAACCAGGTCACAACAACGACCTGGTCATATTCTTTCACGGTGACACAAAAATCGCTGTGGTGTTCCGATCAAGGCTGTCGCCGAAGTTCATGGTGTAGACGTCGTTCTCAGTTTGGTGTAGAGATGAAGCTTTGCCTTTTGGTCTTCAATGGAGATAGAGAAGAGAGAGAAAATTGGGTGAAGATGAATTAGGGATAAGTGTTGAATGGTCATTTAATTTAAATATGGTACACATGGACTCAATTTAATGGTCAAAAAATTTGCCGGTGGTCGGATTGGGTAAATTGTCACCAAACCCCGAAGTTGAGGGGGGTTAAATGCAACTTTAGAAATTCAAGGGGGTTTTGTGCTCACTGGGGTATAATTGAGGGGGGTTTGTTGCATTTTACCCTATTTTATTTTACGATTGGACACTGCTGGAATACGGTATGGACATGGCAGTGATACATTTTCAACAATTTTAGGATACGATAGGGTGATTTTGTAATTATTTTTTTTAAAAGAATCAAGAATGGGATTCGATGCAATTTAAAATATATTGTGGGTTAATTTTAAAAATAATATAAAATTAAGAAAACAATAATAATAAATATGTATCACTAAGCTCCAAATTAGTGATTTTATTTATTATTATATGGATAAAATGGTAAATATATATATATATATATATATATATATATATATATATTAAATTATTATTTTTGACAGATCCATGTAGTACCCATGTCCTACTTTTTTGAGATTTGTCATATCATGGTATCCATGCTACCTAGGACAAAAGTAGGTGTTTGATTTTGTTGTCGAAAAAAAAAGAAGAAGAATTATGATTTTACTAATAAACTATCTATGGTGCATAAGAACATCCATTGATATATGATTAAGATAAACTTCTCACTGTTTATAATACCCATCATTGAATGAATTCTTGGATGCAACACAAACATGGAATCATCCATCATTAGCCTAATATATTATTAAGGAATATAACCCCTGTTTTGGCTGAAATCCTTTGGATAGAGAAGCATTATACAATAGAAAAGTTGGATCAAATCTTTTGTGTATGGTATCTTATCTGACATTCAAATCCCAGTACAAGAATAGGAACATATCTAGAATAGTCACTAGTGAGCCCCATCTACATTCAAGGTTGTAGAAGATACTTTGTGCCACTTTCTCCAAATGAAAGGCACATCAGAGTAGAATTTTGAGTGTATCTGGCCAATAGAGAAGTAACAAGATATTTTGTTGCAAGAATCACTATCCATTCAAAAGGTTCATCTATATCTCACACACTCAAACACACAGTTGACAGTACATAAACAAACTACTATATATAGAACCTCCCTTGTGTTGAAGAACCAGAAAATTGATAGAAGAGAAATGGAGTCTAATTATAAGCGCAGGGGGTTCACAGAAAGCAAGATGATCGTGTCTTCTTATCAAACAGCCAAACCAGCATCATCTGTGCAATACAATAAGGTCAAGCCTAACTCATCTTCTTCGAATGCTTCCACTAAGCCTTATAATGGTAGTGACTCTTTTGGCCATCTCAACAACCCATATGCCAGTGATGATGAAATTAGTGTTGACATTAGAGCAGCAAGTTATATCTCATATGTTCAAGAACGCTTTAGGCTTGAAAGATTTTCTGAACTGTAATATCACTAGAATAGATAATAGTGCTTGTATTTCTGGTTTGTGTATGCCTAGTATGTAAGCAAGGTCAGTAAGGAAATATTTTCTAATGCAATCTGAATTCTGATTCTATATATTTGATCTAGGAGACCATGCACATTTTTAGATACAATATAGTCGAATTTAAGGCAGCTTTTAGCTTTCCATGAAAAGGGATCATTCCTCTTTATGTTACACATCATTTAGAAGCAAATTTCAGCAACTTGAACATAAGAATATATAACAGCAAAAGAAGCACTAATCCTTTGAGATGAGACCTTCTTCGACAACAAGTCTATTCAAAAAGGCCATTTTAACCTTCAAATGCTTTGTAAAAAATTAAATGGAATGAATCACTTGTCATTGGATGTCTAAAGATAGCTTTGTTTATGTGTTTTGCACTTGGGACTATGCTCTTTATCAGGTTAATTTAATGTCCTGCACTCTTCTGGTTCAGGCAAAATAAGCTTTATGCCTGTTTGGTTATTGATTATAAGAGAGCTCTCAAGTAGTCTATGCTACAACAGATGAAGTGCAGTTCATTTGAGAAGAGTAGGCACATGTTATGCACAAAGTCAAGAAGTAAATATCCTTCTGCTTGAGAAAGAGGATTCGCCAAGAACAAGTTCCGAAAAATTTCTAGGGAGAAGGTATAATATTCAATGAGTTACATCTCAGAGAAAATGGCTTCCTACAATCTTTCATGATGCTTCTACTTTGTTTTAGTAATTTTCTTTTCTGCTCTGCTTAGTTGCTGAAAATCATTAAAAAGAAAAGGAAAACATTTTTTTTTAAGCCACAAAGACATTAGCATTAGATGTAATGATTTTGTATCACTAGTGACTATTCAGATCATGGGTGGGGAGACTTTTGTAAAAGATAATAATAATTAAAAAATAAAAATAAATAAAACAGTGTTACTGTTTTAGTACTAGATTTAGGTAGTGGGGTTGGAAGACCTTTTTTTTTTTTTTTGGAAAAAGGGTTGGAAAATGGAAGACTTAGCACAATGGCACTGGCACTATCAAAGTGTTGCTAGAAAGGTTGATTGGAAGACAGGATCAAATTTAAAAATTTGAGATTTAAAACTTCCTAATTTCCAAGGATTTCAAATTCTCAAGGAACTACAAACCAAACTTTTCGAAAAATTAAAAAAAAAGCCCAGTTTTTTTTTTTTTTTTTTTTTTCATGTAAAGGTTTAAAATTGTCACACAATTTCATTCCCAAATAAGGAACTAAACTAGTAGTAGGAATATTTTTGGATAACTACAGCAATTCTATTGGAATATTACAGCATATGCGTGGGATACAGAAAGTGGCCGTGAATGGCTTCAAGTATCTGCACCACACATCAATTTCATAGGAAGTTTTGTGCTTCACATATCAAACACCAACAGTTAATTATTTAGTACACTAAAATCACCCTTTTGTTACCACACACTGTCGTGCAATCCAGTACTCATTTAACTACAATTACTCAAGCTACTCCGAAGCAAGCAATGCAAGACCATTTGGTTCCTGCTTAGCAGTGAGCTCCATCCTGAACAGGCCTGCATTTCAACAATCAACCGTGATTTATACTGCAAAAAAGCGTCGATTATATATAGTTAAGCATGAAGTTCATAAGAAGATACCGCTATGGATGCATTTGTCTTTTTCATTAAATCGAGTACTTGAACATGCAAGACAGCATTGCATTTACCTTTGAACATCTGCTCCAAATATTCTGGAGCTTCTGTTATTACCCTCCTGCAGCTCATGCAGCTTAACCTCAAGCAAAAACAAGTATAAATTTCAAACTCTAGATTCAAGCAACATTCTATTATGATTAAAGATATAATAAAGGGCAATAATTGATAACTTTCAAATTCTCACTTTTTTCTGGAGATGAATATTCTCCTCTTGCAAGGCTTTGTGCTGCATTTACACAAAACAAAAATTGATTTGAGTATTCTCCTCTTGCAGGGCTCTGTGCTGCATTTACACAAAACAAAATTTGATTTTCTTCCAAATGTTAAATTGAGGTATGACTTTTTGGGTAAATTATTAGGGCACTGCCACCTATAGGTACTCAAATTATCGGAAACCTCTAAGCGGTAATGATTGATCCATGAAACCTAAAAATACCCCCTGTTATGCTGAGAAATAGAAGAAGAAAATGATTTATGTTTTTACTTTCTAAAATGTGAAGTTGTGATTGGATTCCCACTGCAAATTGGGAAAATGGTTGTTGCATAAGTTCTGAAATGAGTTATGTGTTTAATTTAAAAGGATCTATATGATTCTATAGTGGTTTCAAGCTAAGAAAAACTTCATGTGGTCCAAGCCAAGCCCCAAGAATCACCCATGAACTTGTGTTAGGATCAAGATACATCACCCTTCTCTTGAGAAAGTTGATATGCTCCGAAATGATGTGCCTCTGTCAAATAGAATAATGAATACATCAATTCAAAATAATAATCAAACAACTTCAAAATAAAAACAAAAAATAACAGCATAAGAGAATGACGATGAGGACTACATAAATGTGGAGGATCTATGCATTGCATATGAATGCTAGTCTATATATATATATATACTTATTCTGTTGTTGTCTGTGACATATATGCATCAGTTACCTTTTTAGAGCGAATGCGTTCAACACCAATTCTCAACTTGCGCTCCAGTTGTTTCAACTCTTTCATGCCCAACACCGAGAGATCTTCCCCAGAAAAATGCCTACGAAATATAAACAATGCAACTATGTTAATGACAAGGAGGAGGATAGTAATGTGACAGTAGTTGTAGCACATACTTGAGTCTTTCTTCCAAGCTGACTATCGTTCTCTTCAAGTCGTCAATTTCAGACCTCAAAATCTATAATCACAAAAGATTTAAAAACAACTGAGGCATTAGAACAATGCACATACACAGAGGATCACATTTTGGGTGTTCTATACTTCTATTCCTGCAAAGCTTCTGTGCACAATGTGCTGGTAAGGTGCCAAACTGCAGAAATGAGGCCGGCGAAGTTCTGAAAAAAGATTTCGCTGGAGAGGATAAAGGGTGTGTGTGTTTTTTCGGCTTTTTAGTTCTGTATTGCTAAGGGACTAGCAATATGTAAGTTTGGGGGTGTGATGAGCGCTAAATATTGCATATTCGGTATTTAAATTTAGTTCAAAATTCACCTGAAACAGATTACCTGTTCTTTTTCTTTCTTGGAATCACTCAAATGGTAACATTGCTTAATGCCACTACAGTTTAACACAAGTTTCTATGCATTTTTAGCTTTCTCTTCTCGACTTTTTAATTTATATATCCTGCCTAATTAGGTAAAAGAAAGAAAGAAATCCTTCTCTTTTGTTTAATCATCATGGATTATAGGACAAAAAGAAAATATGAATAATAGTAGGAGAGGAATATTTAATTTTACATGTATTTTCCTTTTCCCCTTCTTTTTCCTTCCCCTTTTTCATTTCTCTCCGCAAATCCAATAACCAAACAGTCTTGAAATGGCACCATTGATAAAATTAAAAAAGGTCATAATACGTTGTTCTGCATAGAGAATTATAATTGGAGTGCTGTTAAGGTGCAAACATGACATACCAAGTTGAAACATCTTTTTGTTTTTAAGTCTTTCTTAACCTACTTGATCTCATATCCCAAAGGTTGAACATTTGAACTCAGAGTGATTTTACTTTCATCTTAAGCTAATGTTGCTGTCACTTTGTTTTCCTGATCTTTATGCACTATCAGGTTGAACATTTGAAATCATAGTGTGGTGTTACTTTCATCTTAAGCTAATGTTGTTGTCACTTTTTTATTTATTTCATTGGCAAGAAATTCACACACTCGTTTGTTCCTACAAAGACTTGAACTCTTACTTCTCACTTGAGATGTAGAAGAGATATTACTAAGTAACAAAGCTTTTGATCTCCGTCTTGTCTAACCAAAACACTTGTAACCTTGAGATGTATTAAAGTAGGTCTATAGTGGGATTCACTTTAAGACTTCTTATAGTAGCAATTAATTAGATTAGGTTATTGGACTATTCACTTTGACTAGTATGGCTCAAAAATATCATATGCCTAGACCTAGTTGCCCAAATTGGAGATATAAATCATCCCAACATTTCACTTGACAATTTAGGTTAGGCTTTAATTCAGACCTATTTTGGTCCTAAAAGTAATTCAATGCCCAAAACTCTAAACCACAAGGTCCAGTTGAACTGGATGCTCTGTACAAAGTCTCATGTTGCACCATGCAACACAGCCAAATTGAGGATGCCACGCAACTGAATCGAAAATGCAACACGATTAATCGAGGTTGTACACCAATATTTGATTATCAATTAACTGTGTATATTTACAACACAATTAAATCAAAGATGCAATACCATTATTTTAGTAACGGGTCATTGGCCTAGCGGTATCAGGTCCTTACTTTAGAAATGTCAGAGGTTTAAATTTCAGTGGAGGCGTGTGTGTGAGTATCAACTAAGGGAAAAAATAAATAAATAAATAAATAAAAATTATTTCAATTATCAACTAATTGTATTTAATGTATTGCACCTTGGTTTAATAGTTTTGCATCGTCAATTTTTTGTTGTGCAATTCGACCATTGCGACTCACGAAGACCAAATTCTGAAATGAAAATGACCCAACTATCAATACCCATAAGCTTTTTCTTGTGGTCCATGTTCTTTTTAGCCAAAATCTATCATTCAAGTCTCCAAAACTGCATTTTAATGCTACAGAAGACTACCAAATATTTTGAAATTTTTGTTCGAGGTCTAAAAGAATTTGGATTGATATGAAATTTGGTTGTTATCTTAGTTTATTCATTAAGAACTCATATCTATTTTTCTTAATATTTTAAGACAATGCCAAATTAAACAGTTATTAGGTTCTTTTTTTCGGGTTGTAGTATTTAGCATATTATCATTATTATTTATTGATAATAAATTAATTTATTTTTTTCTAAACTTTGTGAATTCTAAATTGTTCTTTAAAAAATATCATAACTTCTGCTTCATCAAGTAATATCAGAGACATGTATTGGTTCTCTTTTGTCAATTCTACAATTTTTTTTTTTTTTAATGGAAAGATGAAAATAATGTGAGAGGCCTTTTAGCGAAATTTTCAATTAGTAATGGATCCACCGACAGAAAGAGTTGCTTTTGTTTAGAGACGGAGGACTTGTCCATGGTAGATGAAGAATCAAAGACCTAACAACTACCAAATAGACCAACTTTTGGGAAAATAAAAAAATAAAAAATAAAAACAAACAAACAAACTACGAAATAGTCTTAGTCCTTTGTTTATTTCTTTCTAAAATTACTGAAATATCTAATTTTTTGTTGACATGGCAGATCTTTGAGGTTGCTTTTGTCCATAAAATATGAGGGACAAGTTAACCACCCTCTTCACTTTCGCGAGAAGGTTAGTTCAAAGTCACATTTAGTAAGAATGATAAATGGTGTGAGTGTGGGAGCGTAATCGAGACAAAATCTCGATCACACAAAGTGAGAGAAGGAGTAAAAATGCACGAAGCATTAGAACAACACTCTCTTAAAAGAATTATGTGATTTAAGGTTAACTTTCCATAACGCAATGGAAATTGAATAAGAATATATTTTGCAACTTTCCAAGAACAAAATAACATTTCGTTATTATTGGCTACCTTGATATATATATATATATATATATATATATATATATATATATATATATTTCAATCTCATTTTCCCTTTTGAATAAAGGAAAAGTATCAATCTTACTAAATTAATTCACAATCAAATTGAATTTGAACAAAGCAATACCTCAGAAGTCCTAAAGCCTTGGTTATTTGCTTCAAACAATCCCACTTCATTCCTGTACCTTGCAATGGTCCTAGTCATGCTGCAACCATTAACAACACCACAAAATTTATGCTTAAAACTCTCTCTAATTACTGACTATAAATGACCAAGATGATTTTTTTTTTTTCCAAATAATAAAGCAAACACACACTCTTTTACAACGTCTAAGTTCGAACCCCTCTCCTCTAAGGATAGGGAGATTATATTATTAAGCCAAAGGCCCTTTGATGACTAGGATGATTATTAATTAGAGTACTGATGAAAATATATATATGTATATATATATATATATATATATAGGAGATAGAGAAATATATACTAACTCATGACTAGCAAACTGGTAAGCCTTGCCAGAAGGGGAGAAAATGAGAAGAGCAACCTCAGCATCACATAGTATAGACAGCTCAAAAGCCTTCTTCAGTAACCCATTCCTTCTCTTGGAGAAGGTCACTTGTCTGTTTGTTGGATTCTCAATTCTCTTTAGCTCTACTTTCCCTCTCCCCATACTCTCTCTCTCTCTCTCTCTCTCTCTCTCCCTCTCTCTCTTCTACAAGTGCTATTAGCTTAGTATACAAGGCTATGAGCATATATAGGGGACTATATATATATACGAGTGTGTGTGTAAATGTGTGTGTGTTTCCATGCAAGCTTATGTATGCTCACCCAACTTCATGACAATAGGACAGTCTGATGAGAATGAGTTGACAGCACCAGTCTTTCCTTAATTTATGCAATTATCTTGTCCTTTATTCATTGGAAAATATATAATATTCTATCCACAACTTAATTAAGATATTGAATTAATTAGGTGAAAGAAGTGGATTGAAACAATAAATTAGTCAGATCAGATAACATTATGTCAATTTCGGGTGACTTTATTCAACTTCCATAGCAGACCTACTTGTAGATGAGGACAAAACTCTAAGTCTATCTCCCCTCAAAATTAGGACATTACATATAGAGAGTTGATTAAATTTATGAGTAAATTATACTTTTTGGATATTTACCATTACAATTCATTTTTTTTTTTTTTTTTTTGGTCATTGGCAAGAAGAAACTCACACATACCCGCTTTGCTCCTTTGAAAACTCGATCGCTCACCATCCATTTTGGAGGGTAAATGAGATACTACTAGGTCGCAAAATATGCCCTTCAAATTGCTGTAAAAAATGGTCAATGCTAATGTAGTAAGTTTTTTAGTTTTATTTGACAAATATGCCCTTCAAATTGCTATGAAAATATTTTTGTCCAACTTGTCACAAGGACAATTATACCCCCTAACTAAAGAAAAAACTAGATTTATGAAAATGGCACGAGTTAGGGCACATAATTGTCTTTTTACACAATTAGTATTGGACAAAAGTGTCTTTACAAAATTTCTTTACAAAATTTGAAGAGTATATCTAAAAAAATTGTCACGTTGGCGTTAACCATCAGATTTGACGACAAGGGCCAGTTTGTTACACACGTATAATTAAAATAGATAAAATAGTAATTATCCAAAACATGTGAGATATAAGTGTAATAAAACTTAGTTAGAGATGCAATAAGTGCAATCTATTCCAAATTTGTTATGAGCTGAAGCAACTGAAGAAAATAAGCATCGAAGTTATCAATCACTCTTGCTAAAAAAAAAAAAAAATTGTAAGTAGTTGACAATGTAAGAAATCTAATTGTGTGTTGTCAAATTTCATAGTCAAAACATAGTTTATTGAGTAGTAATTTTTATTTCCTGGAGTGTTGGATTAGAAGGGCTCAAAAACAATGTACAATTTAATCAACAAGTAAGATAAACCTGAACAGAACTTAGGTTAGATAAGTGTGAGTTCTTGTGAAGACACTTTGCATTAAAAATTGGTTGGAGTAAAATAAAATTAGTCCTCAATGTTAATGCACTGGTGGTCCAAAAGCTTGTACAGGTACACCTTACCTACTTCAACTGAGATTTTGAGTTTTAAGATCATAAAATTAAGAATTTAAGAATTCTCCGTATTGTCTGTGACTCTAAAGGAACTAAAATCTTAATAATAAAATGCAATAATAAATGATTTCGAATACAGACAACTTGTGAGAGTGGAACTCCTTTTAAAAATTATTATCAATTAATAATAAACTGTGATCACTATCTACTAAAACCAAATAAAAGATGTATAGATTTATTTATAAATTTGTCACATATATGTCAATCCTTGTATAACAAATTTTGTAGCCTTCCTACATTCCTTTGCAACATAACACAACAATAAGTCAAAACCTAGGAAATAAGAAGCATTAATTGAGCTGAAATTGAGGAAAATAGAACACTTCATCTTAAATATGTAATTCAATATAAAGTACATTTTACATTAATTACAAATGTCAATATATATTATGAAGTTCAAAAGTAAAATTGGATCTTTCTAATGTAATTCTTCATCCCAATTTAACTCCTGACCAGCTATAATTCTCAATTAATTTTTTCCCCCATAAATTATAAAATTTTAAAATAGATGTATATATGAAAATTGTGAATCCCAATTGTAATTATCAACAAAATTATGTTTCTAATGTAAGTAATTTTATATAAACTACCAAAAAAAATAAAATAATAATAATTTAAGATATAAATCCTTTTGATATTCAAATGGTAGAAAAATAAATCTTTAGAGAGAGTTAGAGCTAATTGAAAAAATGATATGTACAAGGATTGATGGGGAAGTGTCTACAAGCATCTTGAGAGAAACCCCGCGGGGGGTGGGGGGGCTCAAATTTTTGAAAAGAAATTCCTTTGGAAGCATGATCCTGAATATAATCCAAATCTTATTTTATCTGTGTGGGGGAGGTCAACTTGTACGAATTCGGTGAATTAGTTGAGGCAAAGACACAAGTAATTGAAAAAAAAAACTTACATGCGATTCTCTCAAAATTTTGTTTAAAAGACTTATTTATTAGTCACTCATCATCTTCGTCTTCTTCTATTTTTTTCTTCAAATTAATGTTGTCGGTCGCGTAATTATTTTTTACATTCAATTTTATTATAAGACTAAACCCCTCTCTTTGAGAATAGAGAAGTTATACGTTTGAAGTACACGCCCTTTGATTGGTACAACATATATACGTACCTATAACCATTGGATTGTAAAGTTGTAAGAGTCAACCTTACAAAGACTAAACGCAAATGAGAATGTTCTCAAAATAAATATGCTCTCAAGAATACATATTAAGACTTATATTTTCAACAAATAAAATAAGAAAATTGTGAATCCCAATTGTAATTATCAACAAAACTATATTTTTTAATGTAAGTAATTTTACTTAAACTACCAAAAAAAAATTATATAGTAATAATTTAAGATATAAATCCTTTTGAGATTCAAATGGTAGAAAAATAAATCTTTAGACAGAGTTAGAGCTAATGAAAAAATGATATGTACAAGGATTGATGGGGAAATGTCTAGATTGTGTAGAGACAACACCTCAAGCATCTTGAGAATGCCCACCCCCCGGCGGCTGCCGTGGACATAATGCAAGCCTTATTTGATCTGTGTAGGGGACGTCGGCTTGCACAAATCCGGTCGTTGGGAAAAAGTCCCCGACACAAGTTATTGAAGAAAAAAAAAAAACCTTACATGCGATTCTCTCAAAATTTTGTTTAATAAACTTACTTATTAGTCACTTATCATCATCTTTGTCTTCTTTTTTTCTTCAAATTAATGTTGTAGGTCGCGTAATTATTTTTTTATATTTAATTTTATTATATAATTAAATTCCTTTCACCGCCTTTGAGAATAAGGAAGTTATACCATATATGTTACCCTCACTAAGTATACCTATCTATAACCATTGGATTGATTGTAAGGTTGGAAGAGACAACATTGGCCTCTTTAGTCTATTACAAAGACTAGACGCAAATGAGATTGTTCTCAAAATAAATATGCTCTCAAGAATATATATTAAGACTTATATTTTCAACAAATAATATAATATAATATATAATATGCTCGCTTCATATGGTTTGTTTATGATAAGAAGGTGAATTGATTGTTTGTTTATAATAAGATGGTGAATTGAACGCTGAATCTTTTATTTTAGAATATAAAAAAGTATCACTAGGTTTCAATTCTTTATTAAAAATTTTATTAAATAATTAATTATTTTAATAGTTTTATTTTTTTAATTCAAAGGGGTAATTATTTTGTCAATTTAAATTACCATAAGAATATCTAAAGTGTTTATAAAAATAAAAATACTATTGACATCTAAATTCTACTCACTGTAATGACTTGGCATTATTGCTAGGGTTAAGCATGCTCTTGGCCAAGGCGAGTGAGACATTGGCCTAAGCCCCACTTCTTATTATATTTTTAAATTATTATTATCTCAAATTTCTTATGTATTTAATTTAATATACATTTTTTTCTTCTTGTTACATTTTCTTGAGATAATTTCATAATTTCAACCATTGCCATTATTAATGTATTTGCAAATTATGGGGCATAGTCTCCCATCTCACATGCACCAAACAATTATAATTTTTTATTTTTATTTTTCTAAAATTGATCGAAGAAAATTGGAAATCCTGACCTCTAAAAGATTTTTAAACTTTAAGTTACTTTTATAATAATCTAATAATTATGTGTGTAGGGTAACTTAAATTAGTGAAATATTTTTATTAGTGAATTACATAGGGCCCATTTGGCAATCGCTTTTATTTCGTGTTTTTGTTTTGACCGGAATCAGAAGTAATGTTTTTGCTTTAGAGTGTGTTCAACACTATTTCGAAACTTTTTTAACAACGTAAATTTGCTTCAAGATTTTTGAAAACAAAAACATGAAAGCAGTAAAAAGTGTTGCAAATTTGAAAAAACCAAAAAAAAAAAAAAATGAATGGTTAGTTAAAAATGTCATTTTAGAAAAAGAATTTTTTTCTTTTTTTAACTATGCTTTTCTACGGTGCAGAATCAAACAAAAGAATCATTTTTATATTTTTGATTTTGGCCTCAATTTTGAAAGCTTGGTACAAAAAAACACTAACCAAAAACGTTAGCCAAACGGGCCTATAGTGTGATGATTGGTGTTACAATGAGAGTCTTACCCTATATCGGAATCGAATGGGGATTCCGATGATAAATGAAGTAGGGATTTAAATGAGTTACTTGTTAGTCTTATGATAATTTAAACTCGGATCGCTAAACATTCAACGCGTTACATATGATTCACATTTGACATCACACACACGTAATTATGTAAACTCGAATCGCTAAACATTCAACGCGTTGCATATGATTCACATCTGACATCACACACGCGTAATTATGTGCGCGTTAATTATTCATTGAAAGTAATATACCGCTTGTGCTGTATAGTCCAACTCCTCCTGGTCCCTGGTATACATTGAACAGAGGAGTCGACACGTAAACAATGGTGATGCTATTGAAACCAATGGAAAGGTCGGTACGTGTCCTTTGAACTGATTGATCCTCCACGAGAGTTTCGTATCTCACATTATTTAAAAGTCTGTGTCCCAATCCATCATATACCCTTTTGAATAAATATATATAGTCCATTCCTAGCTCTCTTTCTTCAGGTCTCCGGTAAATGGGCATGACATAAAAACTCATATGTCCGTTGACTTCAAGTGCCATCATCTGCAGATAATGTTAATATATAATATATATGTGTGAGCGCGCGCCCTCCTCATTCGACCAACATAAGCATATGT